TCCCTAATACCCTGCGTCTAACCTCACTATTACTTACCCGGTGATCCCAACAGACGCCAGCAATATTTCTAGGACATCTGTGGTCAAATACTAGTAGCTTACGGGTGTCTTCTACTCTTAAAGGCCATGTTTCGCTGCGTAAATTAAAACAGGACGGACTGCCGCGCAGTATACTCGTCCTTTTATTGATAGACGGATATCTCGCCTTCGCCAAAGGTGACGTAAGTTGGCAAAAGCCAAACGAGCTTTTCGAATCCGTGCTGAGATTTCGTCAGACACCAACCCATTAGGGCTGATCAGACTTCCAAGATAAGTGAAGTTGTCAACGCGTTCAACTACTTCACTCCCTATCCTTAGTTCAGGTGTTGACCCAGACCAGTCCTGAAGCAACAACTTGCATTTAGAGGGAGAGAAGCGCATTCCAAACATTCTGGCATTGTTGCTCAGTGCTACCAAAAGACTCTGCATTTTGTCAGCGTCTTCACCAAACAGGACTATGTCGTCTGCGTATTCTAAGTCGATAAGTGGACCTCCTGGAAGGAGATCAATACCCGAGAATTCAGTCGACGAGAATGTTATTTCCATCAGTAGGTCTATGATGAAGTTAAACAAAAATGGAGAAAGTGGATAGCCTTGACGGACACCACTTGAGGTTGCAAAAGTAGATGACAGTTCGCCATAAGCCCTGACTCGACTAGAAGTGTTCGAGTAAAGAGCCTTTATAAGGTTTATGTACTTCTGAGGTACGCCTTTCAATGACAGACACTGCCACAGAATCTCGCGATCTACAGAGTCAAATGCTGCTTTTAAGTCAAGAAAGACCACCATTGTCGGACGTCAATAAGTTTGCCTGTGTTCTAGAACCTGACGAGTGGTGAATATGTGGTCGATGCAGCCACGACCAGGTCTGAAGCCAGCTTGGTTCTCTCGAGTTTGTAGTTCACGAGTCTTAGTTAGGCGTCTGATAATTATCGAGGCTAGTATTTTAGATATTATATTAGTTAAACTAATCCCTCTGTGGTTGTCACAGGATGATTTTGACAATTTCTTATATATTGGGACGATAAGTTATTGCGACCAGTCAGATGGGATAAAGTCTAATTCCCAGATCTTAGCTAAAATATTAGTCAACCTAATCGCTGAAATTGGACCACCATCCTTAAAGACCTCTGGAGCCAATCCATCTGGACCAGCTGCCCTTCCTCGTTTCAGATTAACTATAACCTTTTGAACTTCAGCAGGAGTCGGGGGACCTACTTCAATGTTCCATTCACACTGTCTGGGAATGGAGGGTAGTTGTAGAGTCGCTGAAGGCCAGCTAAACTGTTCCCTAAAGTGCTCCGCCCATCGTTCTAAACGTCTGGACTTGGAGCAGATGAGAGTATCGTCTTTTTCCGAAATAATCTCACTTACGCTTGACTTATTAATTCTAGTTTCTTTTATCAGTCTATAAAGCTGTCTTGTGTTCCCTATAGTCGCCGCCTTTTGCATCTCTTTTGCTTTCGATGCCCACCACTACTCACGGTCGTTTCTTAGGCTTTTTCTTAACCTAGATCTGATTTGTTGTCGCTCTTCATCATGTTCGGAACCTGATGGGACGAGTTTGCGAGAATCCATCAGTGTGACAGACCTTGAAGAAATCCAATGGTTCTTTGTAACTCTGTGGTTTAAGTCGCTAATAGATGTCACTGCTGTTTCCACAGCTGCTTGTATGTCTTTCCAAGCAACATCTGGGTCAGCCTCGTTTTGAGAACTACCTAAGTGTGACCTCAGTTGTTCTTGGAACCTATTTTTGGTTTTCTCGTTACTCAACTCAGTTCTAACGGGTCTTTTTAATGTGGCTTTTTTGCGTCCAGTGAGGCGCAAGCAGATGCGTGCCCGTATTAGGGCGTAGTCGGAGTCCAAGCAGGTACTCCAGAATGAGCGACAATCTTCTACCGACCCTCTCCAACGATGACTGATGACAATATGGTCTATTTGAGTCCATCGTTGGTTTGGTGTAGGGGGTCGCCATGTTAGACGATGTCTCTCCTTATGCTTAAAATTTGTGTTTACTAAAAATAAGCGATTGTCTGAGCACAGTTGCAGCAGACGATCACCATTATCTGTTCGCTGTGTCGGAATACTAAAATATCCACCTAAATGCCTTTCTGTTTGGTTTAAACTGCCTATCTGAGCATTAAAATCACCTGCTACGAGTACTATGTCTGAGCGTTTAGCTTTCTGAAGAAGTTCGGACAGCTTTCTGTAAAATTCATCTTTCACATCATCTGAGCTGCAGTCAGTGGGAGCGTAGGCAGAAACGACAAAAAGGCAACGACGTGTGTCCCTATCCTTCCGAGTTCTTACGGAGCCGTTCAGCCGAACAGCACATAGACGACTGTTGACGGGGATCCACTCTAGCAGTGTTTGTTCGGCCCTCATGCTTAGTGCTATGCCTACACCTGCCAGTCCACGAGAGCTGGCCATCGGGTCACCAGATACACGTAGAGTGTATCTCGTTGGCTCTCCGTTTTGCCGAGGTGAGGTCAAGTGAATGACCACACTGAAATCCTGTATGCGTGTTTCGGAGACACAGCACACGTCAATGGTAAGAGACTCTAGGGTTTTAGCCAAGGAAGCCTGCTGACCGATTTGACATAGGGTTCGTACGTTGAAGGCTCCAATGTGTAGTTTGGAGCGAGGTTTCAGTAGACCTGGGACAGTGTTTTGAGCACTATGATCGTTGGCTATGGTGACACTTGAGGTGGAAGCCGAGAGAGGAAGTTTAGAGTTGAAAGTCGATGTAGGAGGAATAATAGGAATTGAAGAGGAAGGTTGATTATGAATACAGTGGTCTTGAGTGCTGTTAGAGGTATGAGGGCGGTTTTCACTTCCCGGTTGCCCACACCGTGGAAGGGTTCTTCTGGAGGTACCTGAAAAGGAATTTTGATTAAAGGTGGTCTTAGTGACCTGAGAGCGTGACCGCAGTGCCCAAGGGACAACTGCTTGAGGCCGGTCGCGCACGACCTTTACGTGGGAGGTTTTTGACGTGTTAGCTCCGTTCTTCAAAAGGGCCTTACCGCCGGAGACGGATATCCGTGAGGTAAGGTGAGGTGCGCATTTTTAGGATCGACCTTTTCTAACCCCACCCCTCCTTGTGGGAAGGCAGCATCGCTGTTATGCTGGTTGTCTGAAGGAAACACCTTACTGTTGTCACACCTCTGTACAGTCAGCAGTACGACTTCGCCTTCGGACCTTGGGTTTGTTGCTTTTAGTCTTACCGCTCTTCAACCGACCTGTCTGACGTGGTAGGACCTTGAGGAACAATTGTTCCTGTCAGTATAGCTCGGTTGCTTTATCACGATAGACAAGCCCGACCACCACGTCAAGATAGCAACAACAGTCGGGTTGGGTACTGTACCCAAACAGCTGGTTCATTTCTTATTAAGGATACCGACTCGCTTGATCTTGTTCAGCGTTTGAAAACAAGGTTAGTGAAGGATCTTTCCGAACTCCCTCACGACGGTCGCTTCAAACGTGGTGACTTAATATGGGCGTTCCGTATGTTTAATAACGATTTTAGTGTTAATATATCTTAGTTTTGTGCTCCCTTCAGTACTAATAATTTTTGATGCCATAGCACGATGGTCCGAAAATCTAGATCCGTTCTTCAGATTTAGATTTGTGTAGTAAGGACAGAAGGCATACGGCGTATGGTTTTTTTTTCTAGCATGTTTCTGTGAGTGTCTATTCTTCTCTTGAAAGAATCAATTGAAGGTGCGGACACCGCTGCTTCGGGTAACAGGTTCCAAGAATTGATGACTGTGTGAAAACGTGTATGCCACGGGTATTTTGTTCGTTCTTGGCTTTTCTACTCGCCTACGATACCCTCTTAGATGTCCCGATCTAGCGGGAAGAAGAAGAGAGTATATATTAGGTCCAAAATCATTTTTTTGATATTCTATATGTTAAGATCAGATCACCTCTTAATCTGCAATAGGACGGAGTAAATAGACCCAGCTTTTCAAACCTCTCTTTGTATGGTAGACCCTGGAATTGCACGAGTAGCTGCCCTCTGTACGTTTTCCGGAATATTCGAGTCACCTTTTAAACGGGTTTGCGGCTCCAATGCAGTTTTGAAGCTTAGTTCTCATTAAGGGTTTTTATACTGTAGTGAACATAGTAGTGTCTAACTTGGTAAATGTCCGTCTTAAAGTCCCGAGGGTTCTAAACTTTTTAGCTTTAATATCGCAGCAGTGGGCCGTGGTCTTAAGTTCATAACTCACTGTCACCACAAGATCCTTGTGAGACCGGACTACGGGTATAGGCACTTCTATGATGTACCTATTTACCTTTGTATCCCCAAAGTGCATGTAGACACACTTGGCCACACCAGCCATTTTTGACCAGCTAATCAGAATATCTAAGCCTGCCTGAAGTGCGCATGCATCTGCGTTTCTTGTTATTTCCCGCCAGATTTTTGAGTCGGCGTATAGCAGCATTGGGGACCCAACTATATTTGGCAGTTCACTTACATATCGTATAAAAATTAAAGGACATAATACAGCCTTGCGGTACTCAACTAAGTACTGGTTTCCGGATGGAACACTTGAAATTTATTCTTACTGTCTACGACCTACCAAGAAATCCATAAGCCATTTTAGGAGAGGTCCGACACTGCCTAGATATTTCGGCTTCAAGAACTGTCTATTTGGTGGCACCTTATCAAACGTTCTACTGAAGTCTATGTAGACTACTCACACTGATTTTCTATTGTCTAGAGCCTCTATCGATTGCTCCCTTGCTTTGAGGTCTGTTGTGCAAGATAAAACTTTTCTGAAATCATGTTGCTCACTGTTTAACAAGTTGTTGGTTTCCAAGATTATCATTATGGCCTTGTTGACTATTATTCCCAATATTTTAATTATGACACTGGTAAGGCTGACAGGTCTGTATTTTGATGGAAGTCGTCTTGGTCCTGTTTTATGTATGAGCTTCACGGACTGTAATTATACATGTATTTCGTACCGACTTGTAGCATTCCACTGTACTTGCTGTGCCAAGGCTGATGGCGATGTTCCAACATTTCTTCTTTTGTCTTAGTAAACGTCGAATATCCCGGCCTGTCCAGGGATGACTGTGCTTCTTTTTGGGGACTGTTCAGGGTATAAATGGTTGCTACTTGATTGTATAGCTGCCGGAAATGAGTCCATACCTCTTGTACTAATGCTCCTGAGTCCTTAACATGCCTCCACCAAAAGTGAGTAATTTTCGGAAGTTATTTGTTTAAAATAATGTCTTCTACCTCAGGTACACCGAGGCTTCGAAATTATAATAACTAGCTTTTGAATGACTTGTAAGAGCTATAATTTGCTTAAATTTAAACCTAAGTGTAGTAGTGCATCATTCAGACCATAATCATAACCATAATAATAATTCAAATCAATTTATGATATGATTAGTGTTAGTTATCAAACTGACTACACAGCGTCAGATTTTTTTCGCTCTAATGTATGCATAATAAATGATTTCTGAATTTCCTAGATTCCGTTGAATTTTAAATCATCTTTTGTACTCGTTGTGGTCTTTTTTTTAGTGATTGATAATAAATATGGATGAGATTATCCCAGGTCTATGGCTTGGACCTATGCCATTTGCAGAAAATATTTCAGTCTTAAAAAGAAATGGAATAATGTCAATTTTAACATTAGATATCCTGCCATTAGACTGCAATGTATTCAAAGGATTTAACATGAAGTTCTTGTATCTGCGTGACGAGCCATCCCAGGATTTGCTGGAAATTCTTGAAGATGCTTTAAGTTTTATTGATGAAAGTATAAAAAATAACTCAAATATTTTGGTTCACTGGTAAGCGGAGTAAATACATAGTGGTCTAGTTTTTTAAATTAAAAACGGGTGAACGGAGTATAGTGCTATGGGTGTATCTCGCAGCGCCAGTGTTGTAATCGCCTACCTTATGCGTCGAAATCATTTATCCTATGAAGAGGCTTATAATATTGTTTCGACGAAACGGAGTATTTTGTAATTACGGTTTTACTGATTGAATGTTTTATGGTTGATTTCTATTAATATTTAGTCCAAATAATGGATTTATTAATCAGTTAAAGTTGTTTCATACTATGAAGTGGACGGTCAACCGTGATTCTCCATTATTTCAGCAATATATGACGAAAAGAACCTTCTCAGTTTTTACGGGTTTGCTGTTTATAAGTGTTATTTCTAATCCCTCTTTTTAATAGATTATAATGGTGATCTTTTAGAAAGTCAAACAGTCTATCAGTTGCACAACACACCTTCAAGTTTTAGATGTAAAAAATGCAGGTTTCTGTCCTTTAAAAAAATAAATACGATTTTTTTTTCAAAATATGAATTTATCCTTGTAGACAAGTGTTATTCAATTCTAATCAGTTACGCATTCATCAAAAACCGGAGACAACACCTAATCCTCTTATAAATTCTACAAAATCCAAGAACACTGATAACGTATCTAGTGTATTAATCAAAGGTGTTTCATTAAATAACTCTCCTTTACAATGTGATAAAAATGAATTGTTCTGTGACCCATTGGAATGGACATTGCACAGTACTAGTGATGTTCAAGGAAAGGTATGCAATCCCGTTATTTCGTTGTTGAAGAATATGGAGTTTTGTAAACCACTAGTTTTAACATTAGTTTGTTTGCTATTCCTCCAGAGTATTTATACTTTGAACCATCTTTAACAGGAAACGGGTACTAGGTAAGGATGGCAAATCAATTGATGAAGTAGTGAAACTTCATCAGTTGAGATGGCTGGGACACGTGTTACGTATGCCCAACGACCGACTGCCTCGACGTGCTATGTTCAGTGGTATAGGAGTAGGTTGGAAGAAAGCTAGGGGCGGCCAGAGCAAAACATGGCACAAGTCCATGAGGTCACTGACAAGTGAACTGAGTCATGTTGGTAGGTGTAGACTACCTGGTTGGGGACCGCGAGATGATAGCAACCGATGGTTAGAGACCCTGAATGACATGGCTCAAAATCGTTTGCAATGGCGCAGATGCATCCACTCTCTGTGTTCTCTCAAATTCTAATCTTCTGAATTCTTCATGTCCCTTTTTTCCTCTTTCCAAATTTATTTCACTGGATTATACTCTATAAATAACATCTCCAAACCCTAATCTTCCCGATTACTGCTTATACTCTTATTACCTCTACCACTATGGGATTTGAATCGACAACTGCATCTCTGTGCTAATGTGGTGTGGCAACTCGAACTGATGTACGTACGTACGAAGTTCTACGTTGTTACTGACTGACTGACTGAACAGATATTTCGGCCATGGTACATTGCCTTTGTAGTATTAGGCAACCAGTTAAAGCATAGAACCTGATACTTATGTACATCGATTCAAGTTGCTATACCCTATTAGCACAGATGGATTATATTGTCATGTTTTATCCCAGAATAGTAGAGGTAGTAACGGTATCAGCGGCAACAAGAAATATTAGACATCGAAGACACGACTCGGAAAGAAAATATAAATTGGTGAAATAAAAGCAAAAGCAGTTATGAAGAGTTCATAATCTCAGGACTTAGGAGAATACAAAGAATGGATGCGCCTGCGCTATGGCGAATGATTTTAAGCCATATTATTCAAAGTCTCTAACGATTGGTTGCAGTGATCACGCGGACACCATCCAGGTAGTCTCTACCTATTAACATCGCTCAGTCTAATTGTTAGTGACTTCAACCAAAACGTGACATCAGTGCATGAAGTCACTAATTTCTAGTCTTAGCCATGTTGGTAGATGCAGACTACTTAGTTGGGGTCCAACCAATGGTTGGAGACTCTTGGTGACATGGCTCAGAATCGATCACAATGGCGTCGGTGCATACACTCCCCTGTCTTCCCTTAAACTAAGAGATTAAAATCACTTCATATCTTCCTTTCTACAAACCAATTCTTTTTTTCTGTACTATATCCTTACATAAGGTCTTTTGTATATTACACCATTGACTTAACTGATTCTATGAATCCGGTGTTCATGTTGTTGTGCTAATGCGGTATGACAACTTGGACCGGTGCATATATGTGCCTGGTTGTACGTTGTAGCTGACTCACTGTTAGTGATATCATGGACTGACGTTGTGTTTGGGTTTGGGCGCTCTTAGCTTTGTTCCAGCCTGTTTCTACACCAAACAACATCGCTCGTTGAGGTAGGCCGTAGTTAAGCTTACGTAACGAATGTCCCAACCACCTCAGTTGATACAGATTCATTACCTGATGGCAGTCTATTCCTAATCCATGCATTGCTTAGTCTGTGATCTCAACACACATGAGCAATGCTTCGAAGACATTTATGATGGAATACTAGTAACCTACGAATATCCTCTATTACTAATGGTCATGTTTCACACTCATGAAGTAGAACAAATTGAACTGCTGCTCAGAGAACCCGTCCTTTGTTTGGCAAAAGGATGTCACCTGCACCACAAGTGATGCAAGTTGGTAAAAGCCAGTCGGACTGTCAGTGTATGTGAAGATTTCGTCAGTCATCAGATCATCATGATTGATGAGACGTCCAAGATAAGTGGAGTTGACGATGCGTTCAGCTGCCCCACTCATTGTGATTAATCCGGGTGATGACGCAAGCCAATCGCGAAGCAACATTTTGCACTTGGCAGGAGAGGACTGCATCTCAAACATGCTTGCATTGTGTTTTAAGGTGGTCAGAAGACTGGATTTTTCTAGCGTCTTCACCGAACACAACTATATCTTCTGGACATTCCGAGTGAGTAAGTGAATCTTCTGGTAGATCAACCCCTGAATAGTCGAACGATGATAATATTATTTCTAAAGGCATATCTATGACAGTTAAACCAGCCTGGTTTACTCGGGTTTGCTTTTCAAGAGTTCTAGTTAGATGTGTCAGTATTATAGAGACTAATATTTTAGACACTGAATTATTTAAACTGTTTGCTCTGTGATTGCCATAAGACGACTTTTGTGCTTTCTTATAGAATAACGATCAGCGACCGAGACCGATTGCACTGAATTACGTGCAATTTCCAGATTTTAGCTAAGATCTCAGTTAATGTAACTGCTAGAACTGGGCCATCATCCTTAAAAATCTAAGGGGTTAGTTCATCAGACCCTGCTGCTCTCTTTCGCTTTAGATTGCCTATAGCCTTATCAACCTCACCAAGAGTTGTAGGACATACGTCTATTTGCTATTCAGCTCGCTTTGGGATAGTAAGTAAGTAAAGTGTGGTTGGAGGCCAGTTGAACTGTTCCCTAAAGTGTTCTGTCTATCAGTCCGATCTCCAGGATTGACAGTGAATATTAGTCCCGTCTTTTACTGAGATAGTTTCACTAACGGCTGTATTTTTATTACCCGTTTCCTTGATAGTTCTGAGCAGTTGGTTACTGTTACTTATCGCAGCTGCCTTTCCCATCTCTTCTGTTTTCACAACTCACCACTTCTCACGATCATTGAGTAGGCTTTTTGTCAAGCAACGTTTAAGCTGCCTCCATTCCTCATCGTGTTTGGAGCCAGACGGGATGAGTTTACAAGTATCTATCAGTTCCGTAGATGCTGCTGAAACCCATTGATTTTTCTTAACCTTTGGTTTCAGTAACTAGTAGATATCACTGCTGTTTCCATAGCTTGTTGGATAACATGCCAAGTTACATCGGGTTAGATATAATTTTCACGGTTGACTAGCTCCTTCTCTAGTCGTTCCTGAAATGTATTCTTCACTTTTTTATGATTGAGTTAGACTGTAAGAGGTTTTTTGCAGTGACTTTTCTGCATTCAGTAAGACAGACAGATACGTGCTCAAATTAGACCATAGTCTCAGTCTAAGCCTCTGCCCGACCATTGTTGCTGCCTTGACGTGGTAGTCGGGCTTGCCTGTCGTGATGAACCAATTGAACTATACTGGCTGGAACAACCGTTCCTCAAGGTCCTACCATGTCAGACAGGTCGGTTGATGAGCGGTAAGACTAAAAACAGCAAACCCAAGGTCTGAGGGTGAAGTAGTACTGCTGACTGTACAGAGGTGTGACAGCAGTAAGGTGTTTCCTTTAGACAACCAGCATAACAGCGATGCTGCCTTCCCACAAGAAGGGCTAGAGTTACAAAATGGTCTACTCTAGAAATGCACACCTCACCTTATCTCACGGATGTTCGTCTCCGGAGGTAAGGTTTCAAAAAGTACGGAGCTAACACGAAAATTACTTACAAAATGTCGTGTATGACCGGCCCCAAGCGGTTGTCCCTTGGGCACTGCGGTCATGTTCTCAGGTCACTAAGACTTCCTCTAATCCAATTTCCTTTTCAGGTAACTCCGGAAGGACCCTTACACGGTGTGGGCAACCGGGAAGTGATAACCGCCCTCATACCTTTAACAGCACTCAAAACGACTGCTGACTGGTTGCTGAATTGTGTTGTTTGATCCATTAAATAGAATTCCTAGTCCAGTGGTGTGTGCATTTTTTGGTATTATATTTTACCAGACTTTCGTATGTTATTACTTTTTTAATTGAAATATAGGCACGTACTCAGTGAATCTAGCTAATTCTCAGTGTTAGGCACTATCCAATAGTATTAGTGCTTCAACTCATTTCGCCTTTAGCTTTGTTAGTTCTTATAATAAATTTAGTCGGGATAATATGTAACCTATAATAGGGGCTCCATGCATTCTAATGGAGCTGTATTTCGCTTGTTCAAATCTCACCATTTTCCTCGATTCTGGCAGCTGAATAGTGTCATAAACACTATCCATACAAATATTGACAGGAAGTCGAATTTATGTGCTTTTGTATATTTCTTTATCACATTTTAGCTTTATTGTCCTGGATGCAACGCTAAAGTTGGCTCTTTCAATTGGTGTGGTAAGTTTGTTTTACCAATAAAATTTATTAATTTAATTGGGAAAACTATTAAATTAATTTAATGTTTGTTTTTCACACACTTGAGGTAAGTGTTTACTGAAAGCGATTGTGGCTAAGCACAGAGTACTAGTGGGAAAAACATGTTAGTTGTATGGTGGGCGATTATTATGGCGCATATCTATTTGGTGCCTCCTTGCACCAATGTTTATGTGTTTAAATAAATAAATATGTGAGTGATGTGATTAGCTTGTGCAAGCTGAAGTGTCTGGGAATTTGTTTGTCATTCTGATTTTCAGTATTTACCGATGTAGTGGTATTTTGAAAAATAGCTGAAGATAGTCAAACCAGAAAGTTATTTACCATCAATACGAACGGCCTTAATTACTAATGTCTGATGGCATTACCTTTGTGAGAACAAATATTGCACAAAAGTGGATCGGTCGGAGGAACTTTATTTGTTTAACAGCCTAGCAGTATGAAAGAAATTCAAATAGATTAAAAACAGGAACGAATTGAGCGAAGAAATTTCTTTTCAATTAGTTTTTCATCATGGCTCTACACTAATATATATACGTTTTACAATAATAATATAATACTCATCGAGTGGATACGTTACGTAATAATTACATAATGACATTTAAATTAACATTGATTATTGGAAGAAAGAGGATTATTAATATTCAAAGTGATCAAGAAGTTGCTAAGTTGCGTAATGTAAGAAACAAAGAAGGAACAGAATTTTAACGGATGGTCAATAGGATGGTAGTTACGTAAGGATCAAGAGATGAATGTTGAGAAGTTATTAAGTTCATAAGCAACAGAAATAATATAAAAAAATGGAAGTATGAAAAATAGTTCTTTTGAAGGAAATCTTAAACTGATGGCCAGGGCAGGGAAAGTGGTTGTACGAATCTCTTTTGAATGCAAAGGTCAGGTTTGTGAACATGGATTGCGATGGCTTCCGCAATGTGCAAGAGGCGCACTCGTAAACCATGTGGCAAATTAGATGGGATATTGTAGATAACCTTAAAAGCTTTATTCAGTTCGACTTGATGACCTGTGTCAACCAAGTGAGAGAGAATAGAACTTTTAATCACTTTTACCTGTCCTTTGTTTAACCACGACGGATGATGTTCAGTAATGCGATGACGGACTTGCCGAATTGTACGCCCAATATAACTGGCTCCACAGGAGCAGTTGAAACGATAGATACACATAGATTTGGCGAATTCAGGCAGTCTGTCTTTGTTGGCTGTTCTTATCTTGGGATAGTTGTAAAAGATTGCATTTAATCTGGGAGCATTAAATGTTTTTTGTACGGCTCTTCTTAGTTTCCGAGTCAAGATTTCTTCAATGGTGTCATTTATGAATTGTATATTGAAACGTTCTGAGCAAACATTTGCGTTAAAGGTTCTCAATGAGTATCTGAAGTATAGCGCAAGGCTCAGTGAGGCGATGACAAATGTTGATTTTATAAAGGAGTGCATAGAAACCAACTTGTATCCAAAGTTGTATTGGAAATCTTTACGTCGCTCTCGAGTTCGACCAAATGGAAGGACTCTCAAACGCTACGCCCTTAACCAAATCGATTCTCTAAACTCATACATTGCCGAGATGGTAAAAAATATCAACGAGAGAATTTATGCTGTAGATGATCTCCCTGATAAATTAAGATATCAGTATCTGGACTATGTGGAGATGGTTGTTAACTCAAGAAAGGAAAAGAAAAGAATGAAACTTAAGAAAAATCTAGACAAACAGATCCCAGAAATGAAATTTCCATCCAATCCAGGTCAGTACGTACACAATTTCTCTAGTGTTATACTGGATAAAACTGCGTTAGAAGCGTTATCATTAGGCCCTAAGTTTTGTGACTTCAAGAAAACAGTAAATAAAATGGACGTTGAGATTCAATTCGAAAATCTTAATGCTCAAACGGCAGAACTAGTAACTTCATCAAAAGATAATGTCGAAAGATTTAAATCAACACTAGTCGACTGTTGTTTTAAATATTTAAATCATAGACACAACACGAAAGGGATTTTGACGAAAAAACATACAGAAGCTTTAAGACAACTTAAAACTAATGACAATTTATTAATCATGAAACCGGACAAAGGACATGGAATAGTACTCATGGATAAAAATGACTACATAAATAAAATGAAAGCCCTTTTAAATGATAAAAGCAAATTTCAGAAACTGGCTGTGAAGAACGACATAGCAGATAAGATTGAAAAGCAATTAACAGATTCACTGAAAGAAATTAAACAACAAGCTTTTATTTCAGAAAAGATTTTCGAAATGTTGAAACCTACAGGAACGATGACACCAAGACTATATGGCCTACCAAAAATACACAAAAGTGGCTTACCCCTTCGACCAGTTTTAGATATGAATAACTCAGCGTATCATACTATAGCAAAATGGTTGGTGCAAATTCTTAAACCATTACACAAAGAAATTGTCAAGCATAGTGTCAAGGATTCCTTTGAATTTGTTGAGAACATAAAAAATCTATCAGTCAAGAATAATTTCATGTTATCACTTGATGTATCATCTTTATTCACTAACATTCCACTACAAGAAACAGTTGATTTTATTTACAATGAACTAACAGAGAGACGCATAGAAACCCCGATTCCAGCATCCGCTATAAAACAGTTAATTCTTAGATGCACAGTGAATGCACAATTCAGATTTGACAACGAATACTATAGACAGCTAGATGGAGTTGCCATGGGATCACCATTGGGCCCTCTACTGGCTGATATTTTCCTTGCAAAACTGGAAAACGGACCACTTAAAAGCATAATTAGCCATTTACCAACTTATTATCGCTATATAGACGACACCTTCATAGTATTAGAAAAAGAAAATGATAAGGACAATTTACTTAATACATTTAATAACGTTCATCCATCAATTAATTTTACATCAGAAGACGAACAGAACGACAGCATATCATTTCTAGATGTCCAACTAAAAAGAAGAGCAGACGGAACTTTAAAAAGAGGGGTACACAGAAAATCTGCAGCAGGACAATACACTCATTTCTATAGTGCAGTTCCAATCAGATACAAAAGGAACTTGATAAAAATTTTGACACATCGGGCTAGAATGATTTGCTCTGAAGACACCATCGAAGAAGAATTGAATAATATTCGGAACCTACTTAGCATGAATGGGTATCCCATGAAATTCATCGACAAACATATGATGGAGAAGAAAACAAGGACAAAGATACCCACCGTCCATAAGAAGGTACTATTCATAAAATTACAATTCATAAATGACACCATTGAAGAAATCTTGACTCGGAAACTAACAAGAGCCGTACAAAAAACATTTAATGCTCCCAGATTAAATGCAATCTTTTACAACTATCCCAAGATAAGAACAGCCAACAAAGACAGACTGCCTGAATTCGCCAAATCTATGTGTATCTATCGTTTCAACTGCTCCTGTGGAGCCAGTTATATTGGGCGTACAATTCGGCAAGTCCGTCATCGCATTACTGAACATCATCCGTCGTGGTTAAACAAAGGACAGGTAAAAGTGATTAAAAGTTCTATTCTCTCTCACTTGGTTGACACAGGTCATCAAGTCGAACTGAATAAAGCTTTTAAGGTTATCTACAATATCCCATCTAATTTGCCACATGGTTTACGAGTGCGCCTCTTGCACATTGCGGAAGCCATCGCAATCCATGTTCACAAACCTGACCTTTGCATTCAAAAGAGATTCGTACAACCACTTTCCCTGCCCTGGCCATCAGTTTAAGATTTCCTTCAAAAGAACTATTTTTCATACTTCCATTTTTTTATATTATTTCTGTTGCTTATGAACTTAATAACTTCTCAACATTCATCTCTTGATCCTTACGTAACTACCATCCTATTGACCATCCGTTAAAATTCTGTTCCTTCTTTGTTTCTTACATTACGCAACTTAGCAACTTCTTGATCACTTTGAATATTAATAATCCTCTTTCTTCCAATAATCAATGTTAATTTAAATGTCATTATGTAATTATTACGTAACGTATCCACTCGATGAGTATTATATTATTATTGTAAAACGTATATATATTAGTGTAGAGCCATGATGAAAAACTAATTGAAAAGAAATTTCTTCGCTCAATTCGTTCCTTCTTTATTTACCAAATGGCAAAATGGGAATTTTCACTAGATTAAAAACATCCGTAAAGCTAAAGCGAAAAAAAAAACGCATGAAGCGTTCAAGATTTTAAAGAAAATCGTCGATGTTTGCTCAGGATACTGAGTTCTGGATCATGTAATTTCTGTTATTCAAAGCTATCACCTCAGGAAGTTTACACTTCCATGCGTATCTCGAAACAGCAGTGAGTAACCCCATAAGTTGGTGTAATGTCCTGGTTTATGGAAACACCTGTGATGGCTGTAGATAATGGTGGTGTCAATCTCTTACGTGGAGAAAGACTTATCGACCTTGAGTATGCGGATGATATTGTTTTACTGTTCAATGATACTCAAGCCATGCAATCCGCATTTACTCAGTTGGGAATAAGTGTCCGTAGACATGGTATGTGCTTTGCACCTTCAGAGTGCAATGTACTTTTACAAGGCTGACAGGACACTGATTCTTTTCTCACCCTGGGTAGTGAGCAGATAGAAGTAATCAAAAAGTTGGTGTATCTGGGTAGCTGCACAGCTACTAGTGGTGGCCCCCAGATGCCCTGGTACGGCCGAGAGTGGGGAGAGTCCGTTCTCCCTCTCGAAATGCTCTCACATGGCCACGCGTATATAACCTCTGCCAGGGAAGTCCTACTCATTGCCTTCTCGTGGCGGGGTGTTATTGACGAAATTGAGAGGATGGAAAGCGAATGTCCGGCGCTTTAACCGGGTTGGTGGACATGAAGAGTCCACTTAGGGGAGTTGGAAAACCCTGATTCCAAACTAATGGTGCACATGGGCTCTAGTATCCTGAAGAAACAAATGGCGTATGAACCAACTGTTCGTCACTGGCTACCATGGGACTGCTTCTCCTTACAGTGCTCTACTGCCTTGTGGATCAGACCTTCAGGTCGAAGGCTCCGGGTGTGGCCCCATAAGAAATCCACCTGGTTCGGTTTGGTCACTCAGGCAATATCACAGCCCTCACTCATATCAAATGAGATTTGTGTGGCGCATATGTATTTGTTGCCTCCTTGTACTAATGTCTATGTGTTAAAATAAAATAAATAGATAAAATAAATGCGTGGTGGTGTGAGTAATGAGACCGATTCACGTATAGTGAGAGCCAGAGCGGCTTATGCCAATCTGGGCCATCTTTGGCACTTTCATGATGTTAGTTTGGCTGTAAATGGTCGGATCGACAACGCTTCGGTGAGAACAGTCTTGTTCTGTGCTTGTGAAACCTGACCTTTGCGTGTATGGTCATTGTTATTGCCGAAGGATTGTTGACATTCAGTGACAACACCATATTATTAATGCAGAAGTTGGGCATCGTGTGTTCGTGTACAGCGACGACAATTCAATTAGTGTCACTTTCTTGAAACATCGATTTCGGTGGTTCGGACATGTTCTACAAATGTCGTCCCACAGGATTCCACGTGATGCATTATTTGCCGATGCTGGGACTGGTTGGAAAAAGCAGAGTTGGTTAGTGTATGAAATGATGTCGTGGTGTGAAAGAAAGCTATACAGGACTGGCTTCTGTTGGTCCTTCACAACTCCCTGGTTGGGGTCTCAGATTTATTGCAACAGAGTGGCTAGAGACGTTATCAGACATGACTCAGAATAGGAGCCAGTATCAATCCTACTGTAAATTCATTTTGCTTTTCTTAAAAAATGGACGTAACTTCTTTAACTGGAAGAATTCTCTCTGGCTGTACTTTTCCTAATTGAACTGTTTCTCCCGTTATTACTATTTTATCCTCATATACTGATTTCTGTTCTTTGTTGTTCTCCTCTTTCTTATATGCATTTTACATTCTCTATCTCTTCACAACTTCATTATTATTGTGTGGTGGATATGTATTTGGTGCCCCTTTATACCAATAGCTATGTGTTCAAATAAAAATAAATATTTGTGGTCAGAGAAACATAAACTAAAGACATTTGATGAATAATAGTGATATACACGCACGTTTTTAAAAAGTCAGGGTTATAGGAGAATAATTGATGAAGTCAAAATGTGACTTAAATTTTATTACTATTTGCAAAAGACGGTTATCATTTGAACCAATTTTCTCTTGTCCTTCAAATAAGTTATCTCATCATACCATCACACAGAAAAGTCTAATGCTACACTATTTCTGAAGCCAATGTTCAAGCTATGTATCATTAAAATGTATTATACAGCCAAATTCGTCATTACTGAAGGAGTAAAACTCATGCTTTCCCCTTAAACATCATCATCAAACAGATGTCATGCTGGTAGGTGCAAGTTACCTGGCTGAGTGGGGTTTGTACAGTTATTTTGACTGATAGGGAGAAATGGGTGGTGACTAGCAGTGGAATCCAGAACGCACGTTTTGTCTTATTTGGGACTCGTCAGCTAGATTCCACTGCTGACCACCATCCGTCTCTGCTTATAAAGCTTGTTACTTAGGGCAATATCGTGGCAGTCCGCACATGATGCACATATGCCAACAACAGACTGATTAATTGAAGTTCCTAAACAACAATGGGAAGATACAAGCAAACAGTACTAAATGAATTTAAACTTCACCCGATTGCACAAGCAGGTGGCTATCAGGACTCAGTAGTTAGGTGGATAACGCGATGGCATTTGAAGCGAGTGGTACTGGGTTCGAGTTCCAGGGTGAATGTCAACTCTGGGATGCAGGCACATTCAGTTGACGAGTTCCCAATAGGACGACACGCACGTCCTGAATTCTACTGCTAGCGTCCATCTATCTCTGTTTATAATGCTTGTGATTCAAGGCAGTATCGAGTTAAGCCACACAGGGCGCACATATGCCAATACAAAACTAGTTAATTGCAGTCCTAAACATCAATAGGCAGATTCAAACAGCCAGTACAAAATGAATTATCGTGAATAATGGTTGAGACGTTTTAGTGACATGGCTTATAATCGGTCTTAATGGCGCATATACATTCTCTGTTTGTCTTTCCTTAGACCATGAGCTCCATAGTTACCTTGTATCTTTTATCCTCTAAATTCATTCTTCTGAAATCGTATTATCTTTGTCTAGTGTATCTTTAATGTCACTGATACTATTACTACCACTAGTTCTATCTTGGTAACAACTTAAATCGATGCCAGGTTCTACGTTGCATATGATCGCACAAATAGTTGAGTCAGTCCAAATGGGTGTGTACACTAATTCGTATTAGGAAGTAATCGAGTTATGGCTTCAGTCAGATAGCCATTATCAACGTGTGACGTGTCACGAGCGTGCATTTATACAAGTTGCCACATTTCAGATCAGGACATGGCGGCTAAATAAACAAGATGATGAGCAGGTGGTAGAAGATGATATCGATTGTGACGGAACGCTAAATATAGTAAATACAGTTAAAAAACAAAAGCTATCAAAAGGTAGAAAGTCGGAAGTAATACTTAACTCAAAATTTGGAGCAACATAAGGAATAAATGCAACTGGGCCACTATTACGTGTTCTACGCCATGTCACCCAATGTTTGCAAACATTAATCAAATTATTTGTGCAGACCTTAACCAAGTAGTGTCTGGATCTATTAACATAGGTCCCCAACAATCATTGATTTCATGGACTGATATTAGGTCTTGGTTTGGCCGCCATAACTTCCAACCTTCCACTACTTCAGCCAACATCTTTTAACGAACTAGGTAATATTTGGTGTACGTAACATGTTCCATCCATAGCCTCAGCAAAAGATTTGCTACATTCGTTCAGTACTGTGAATTTGACCCCAGTATTGTTCACTCAGTTTTTTCTGAGATACGGAAGTAATACTTAGAAGACACTTATAGTTAAAAGCCTGTAGTATACTCATTTGTTCTATTCCCATAAACCATACTTAGCAGCCATATATTATTCTAGAGAGGATTGTTGTGCACTATGCTCTCTCCTCATTTTCCATCCAGTCATCCTACTTACGTCAAATGTGACGTAGGTTGTTAAAAACTGCGGGGAACTTTGAATCCGTGCTCAGATTGTATCAGATGTTAACCTGTTGGGGTTGCTTAGACTTTCAAGATTAGTAAACTAGTCATCGCTTGATTGCTTCACCCCTCACGGTTATTCTACGCTCTGACTCAGATTAGTTCTAAGCAGGAGTTCGAATTTACCAGGAGAGGAACTAATCCTAAACAACTTGCATTGTATGGGCTATCAAAAGACTTGATTTTGTCTGGGTCTTTTCCTATCAGAGTGATATCGTCTGCGTATTGCAAGTCGCCAATTAAATCTTTCGTTAATTAGAATAGTTTTTTATAAGTTAGAGATATAAAGTATTATTATTAATATAATATCTTTGCAGAAGTTTCATAAATATGAATATAATTGGGAGTCTTGAAGAACATATAATTTTACGGATTTGGATTTGTTCAACTAAATAGCTTTCACAAAGTTTATGTACTTTTTTAGCCAACGCTTTAGTCAGAAAGCTTGCTACACAATTCATCAGTCGATGAAATCAGATGCTGCCTTCAGGTGAGGAAATGCCACTATTGTTAGATGTCAGAAATTAGACCTTTGTTCTACAACTTCATAGAAGTTGAATACTTGATCAAAACACTCAAATCCATATCCGAAATCTCCGTGATTTTCTCGAATTTGTTGTTCACAAAGATTAATTCAAAGCAAGCTCCATAATTTCTTTACGCAAGATGTCAGAGGCTAGCTCTTAAAATTATAAGACCTCTAACCCTCAAGAAACTCGTACACCTATGTGTGGGAAAATAATTTGTTTTTATCAATAAGTTTACCTAAATCTTTAACCCATTGTTTATTAACTGGATGAATGTACCATATTTTCCACTTTTCGAACCTATTTGATGTCTTGTCGTTTTCACATATAATACCTTTACAACAGAAGATTTAAACCAAATTGTTTAAAAGGTGTACTAAACGAATATACCAAGTTTTTCATGATATATGTATATATATTCAAAACAAAACTTTATTTTCATTGATTTATTTAGGCGAACCATGTGTATGTGGCACATGGGTAGTTCCAGCATTTCATTTCAATCGTAATCACATTGATCGTGTACCAATACGTTCGAGAAATGTGATTACTATTCCATCGAAGCCTGTAGAAGACAACAATTCCTTCGTTACGAATACCGATATGAATCAATCATAATCTTATCCACTGTATGTTTCCTCTATCCTATATTGTTCTGTCTTCTTTGTAATATATGAGCGCGCATTTACATCAAACTGATAGTTTTCTCAAGTTTCCTCCTCTTTCCTTAAATACAATTTAAATCAATTTAATATCTTCAAGAGATTTATTTCTTATGATTTATTTGATTACTATGTATATTTCTCACTTTGTTTTAGAATAGTTGGATCCATTCGTTTTATCAATAAAACTACATTCTGTTTCATGGAATTCTTGTGTTTTTTTTGTCAAACAGTTGAGATAATAAGCAATAGTACCTGTTCTGTGGGTGGTAACATTGATATTGATATATTGCAAGTGTTTAACAAAAATCTAATTGATATGTACAAAAATATTAGTAATCTAAGATCGCTACATGCAATCATCCTGAAGATACAGGTGTTTATTAACAGTTGTCTACGCAAAATACTTCGGATCCGTTGGCCGGACACTATTAGCAACAACCAACTGTGGGTGAAAAGAAACCAGATCTCAGCGGAGGAAGAAGCGCTGGAAGTGGATAGAACACACATTGAGGAAGGCATCCAACTGCGTCACAAGGCAAGCCCTCACATGGAATCCTCAAGGCCAAAGGAAAAGAGGAAGAGCAAAGAACACATTACGCCAGGAAATGGAGATAGACATGAGAAAAATGAACATGAATTGAATGGAATTAGAAAAGAAGGCCCAGGACAGAGTGGGTTGGAGAATACTGGTTTGCGGCCTATGCTCCATTAGGAGTAACAGGCGTAAGTAAGTAACATCGTTACATCCATTTTCTGTCGTTTATTGTCAATCTAAACTCTTTGATCAATCATGTTCGAATCTATCAGTCAGTCAGTCAGTCAAAAACAACTAAGGAGCTGAGGTAATACAAAGCAAATTATTGCTACAGTGTAATCACGGTTTGACAGGCGGAAGATGAACTCACTTATACCAGTGAGATTTCTACGACAGGTGAAGAGCCAACACGCATACACATTTTACTCCGTATGGTTTGCCTAAGATTTTGGGCAGATCAATACTAAAATAAGATTTATAAATCCATTTCGAACGTATTTATTATTCAAGATGTACAAAACGAGTTTTGTCATCTACATCAAATAAGACTCATCTATTTATAGGGGGTTGTGGAGATAGTCGTGGTCGTAGATATGCACAACTGTGTACCTCCATACTTAGATAAAACGGTTGTCCGGTGCTTCCAGCTTTCTAATAGTAATCTAACTTAGATCGGTTCATGGTTTCAAACACATGCTTATTGTAAGTTGATCATTAAATTTCATGATAGGAAGTAAATCCTTAAAATTTTAGACAAAGAACGTGTTACCCCTTGAGGTATTTCTCTGAGAAAATTAAATAAAAAGGGAGGGAGTGCATGGTTTTGACTCAGGCTAAGTCAAATGATATTTTCTAGTTGATGTTAATTTATGACGGAAGCTGTCATGAAATTAACCGAACTTACACGAACTGTTGCAAATAAATAGGAAGTTCAGATATACATTTGTGGCAGCGTTACACTTCCATAAGCTTGTTGACAGGACTTATTTAAAACTCAACTTTCGTTTTGAAATTAAGTGTCATTCATAGTCCCATTAGTTTATTTGGGCGACTAGCTGTTGGATCTGGCCGATCTTTCGTTTTTATATATATGTAAATGCTTGTATGTATATATTCAGACAATAATGTATACATTGATTTGATTTACAAATTAAGTTCTCACTCCATTTATCCACTCAAATGGTTTGATCTGCTAAATCTTTATGCGTGATATATAACCATCCTTAATATACCTCGTATTCAACTTCTTGTATCGAGTTGTTAAGTAAACTTTGTCACTTAACGGGATCAATCTAATAAAGTATATGCAATTACTCATTGGCTTCGAATAGGGTTAGCACAGAGACAGTCATTGTTTGTAAGGTCTTGTTAATTCAGTTGTGAAGTTCAATGACAAAATCTTTTGCTTATTTTGATATTTAAATCTTTCGGGAGAAGGAATCTATAAGAAATATAACTTAGATAGTGAGTTTCTGAATTTACTATTGCTCACACTCGTACGGTTGTCAATATATATATATATATATTGACAGAACAGGTAGAATACCAAGCTAACAACCCGACAATTTCTGACTAGTCTGTTATAAGGTCAATCTAGAACATTGAACATCATTAAATTAGATGTGGACAGATCTGGCAACTAATGTGGTGACAGTTAAAATAAACCTGCATGTACTTTTTAATATTCAAGATATGTCATCAGTTGTGATAGATTTATCAGAAATACTAGTTTGACGTTGTCCTGAAATAGTCTACTGGTAAAATACATCGAAACTGTTCTTTTCAAACAGATTAATGCGACAAACTACTTTCAGTTAAAAATTTTTGATCATCTATTCGCCTATCAAACCTTTCAAAATTGTATTTGAACGCGTTTGTTCTGCTATGTTCATAGACTATAAACAGTTTACGAAAGCACTTCATGAGAAATTAGCGGTAGTCACATAAGACTCATTATTAATTAAGATGCTTGACATTAGAATCAGGCAGTCATTTACTTTGTTTGGATATATACAATAGATTTGATCATATAATGGTTGACATAGTTTGACTGTTAAATCTATGTAGTGGTTTTACTTGTCTGTTAACATATCAATAACATCAGATGACAAAGTTTTGTATCTTTTAAGGCCATGACAACTGAGGCTACTGATAAGCATACTGTTCATGTTATGGGTTTCAATTGTGCCTAGCACATTGGAAGTAAAGGTGAACAGTTCAAAAGCTGTTATTTGTCCAATAATTGGTGGAATATTTAAAATATAAAAGAGTTCGGACTCTATTATTAATTGTAACCAGAGAACGATAACAAGTAATTCGACTATAGCTGTTATCTTGACGTCGTGGTCGGGCTTGCCTGTCGAGATGAACCAATCGGGATATACTGGTTGGAACAGTCGTACCTCAAGATAATATCACGCCAGACAGGTTGGTTAAACAACAGTAAGACTAAAAGCAGCAAATCCAAGGTCCGACAGTGAAGTCGTACTGCTGACGGTACAGAGGTATGACAGCAGTAAGGTGTTTCCTTCAGACGACCAGCATAACACCGATGCCCCCCTTTCCACTAAGAAAGAGCGAGGTTAGAAAAGGTCGACCCTAAAAATGCACATCTCGCCTTATTCCACGGATATCCGTCTCCGGCGGTAAGGTTTCAACTAGTACGGAGCTAAAACAAAAATGACCTAAACAAGGGTCGTGTGTGACCAACCTCAAGCAGATAGCCCTTGAGAGCTGCAATCATTCTTTCAGGTCACTAAGACCAAATTTTATTTTCATGTACTTTAAGAAAAACATTTCCACAGCGTGGGCAACCAGGAAGTGATAATCGCCCTCATATCTCTAACAGTACTCAAGACCACTGTATTCATAATCAATTCCCCTCTTCAATTCCTGTTAATGTTCCCATTTCGGCTTTCAACTCTGAACTTCCTCTTCAAGTGTCACCACGGTCAACGATTCTAGTGCGCAAAACATTGTCCCAGGTATACTAAAACCTCACTTCAAACTACACATTGGAGCCTTCAACATACTCATCCTGTGTCAAATCGGTCAGCAGGCCTCCTTGGCTAAAATTCTAGGGTCTCGTACCATTGATGTATGCTGTGTCTTCGAAACACGCATACAGGATCCTAGTGTGGTCATTTACATGACCTTACCTTGCCAAAAAAGGAGCCGATGAGATACACCCTCCGTTTATCTGGAGACCCGACATTGAATTCTCATGGACTTGCTGGTTGGAGACTGCGTGACATTACTCAGAATCGATCAAAATGGTGTAGGTGTATACACTCTGTCTTCCCTTAAACCCTGAGATTAAAATTACTACATATCTTTCTTTCTCTGAACTAATTCTTATATGCAATCTTTCTTTTATATATCACCTCCACAGAATTAACTACTATGAATTCGGTGTTCATCATGTAGTCAATTTATACTTTGATAGGCAATATGAATACTAGTGAGCTCGGTCGTATTGAATTGTATTTGTCAAATATTGAACTTCTCTATACACGACAATATTTATCACCATTATTTATGTTATTCTAATGGTTTTTACAAGTGTTCCTTCAGTTTGTAAATATGTTTTATAGATAGATATTAACTAGATAGCTGGAACCTTAAATCTAAGGGGTTGTTGGAATCAAATACTTAAAACTGAAACCATAATCGACTTATCTTATTTTTAATTCATTAGATTATACAAAATTTATTATGATTTAATTATATTTTAAACAATAAATATAATTAAATCATGAGGAGGATGGCCAATCAACTGATGAAGTAGTGAAACTTCATCAGTTGAGATGGCTGGGACACGTGTTACGTATGCCCAACTACCGACTGCCTCGACATGCGATGTTTTATGGTGTAGGAGTAGGTTGGGCGACCACATCAAAAAAAGGCACAAGTCCATTAAGTCACTGACAAGTGAACTGAGTCATGTTGGTAGGTGTAGACTACCTGGTTGGGGACCGCGAGATGATGGTTAGAGACCTTGAATGACATGGCTCAAAATCGTTTGCAATAGTGCAAGTACATCCACTTCTTGTGATCTAAATTCTAATCTGAATTCTTCATGTTCCTTGTTTCCTCTTTCCAAATTTATTTCACTGGATTATACTCTTTAAATAACATCTCCAAACCCTAATCTTCCCGATTACTGCTTATACTCTTACTACCTCTACCACTACGGGACTTGAATGGACAACTGCATCTCTGTGCTAATGTGGTGTGGCAACTCGAACTGATGTACGTAAGTACGAAGTTCTACGTTGTTGTTGCTGACCGACTGACTAGATTTTAAACTAATATACTGTCTACTTATAAGTAACTTAAAGTTATTTCTCAAGTAATTGAAAAGTTTCTAATGTTGATTTTTTGTATCTGTGATATGAAACTAGAATACCTAGACTTACAATTATTCATATGTAATATGTGCTGTGAGAAGTCTATTCTTCAGAAAAATTGTTTATTCAATATAAGTTCTACTCACGTACGTCAATCCTAAGATTCCCAATTAGAAGAATGACGTAATAACTTGAAATCAACAATTGTTTGTTAAATTTTCTAAAGATTGTGTCAGTTATTTCATGGTAATTTATCAGATATGGGAGTTTATCGTCAAAGTTGGGATGTGCGTTGAAGATGGTAATAAATGATGTGAAAAATTGATACTGTAATCTAGACCTTATACGATTCATAGTGAAACTTCCCTCAGATTCTCTAAGTGAAATTGACGGACCGATTTTTTCACAGATCACTCCGAATCTCTTTAGCATAAGAGATGGTTTTTTTGTTGGGAAACTCGACTTTATTGAGATTTAGATGGTGGTTGGAGGTAGTCAACAGGAAACCCTGGACCCGGGTTTCGTGCTACTTGGCACTCATCAGCAAGGTGTACCTGTAATCTTGAGGGAACTGGTGCTCCCTGGCGGATTCGATCTCGTGTCACCCAGCTTCACAGTCAGAGACGTTACCACTGAGCTATCCGAGCCGTGGCTAACCTCCTGTAGGACTGAGATGTAATCACAATTGATTGATCACTGGGTGGTGATCAATGTCATGCTTGTCACCTAGACTGGTAGCCACATTGCAACATGATCGATAGCATTCGATCTGCCCTCATAAGGACTAGACAAGCATGACATTGATCACCACCCAGTGATCAATCAATTGTGACTCGACTTTATTGATAAGTCATAATCAGATAAATTAGCACTGAAGATTCTTGGCGAAGTATGATAATTTAAATATTATCAGGGTAGGGTTGTGGAGATTATTAAGTTTTTGATTGAGATCACGAACGAATTGATGTTAGACCACCATTGAAATCCTGGGAGCACTGGACGGCCGTTTCGTCCCATTGTGGGACTCCTCAGCAGTGCGCATCAACGACCCCGCTCGCGGGAAGCCGTGACAGGTATCCAACTCAATATAATAGGAGATGGTCGCGCAATTTCGTGGATTGGTTGGTAGTAGAAGTTAACATCTTTGAATGCCAGCTGAGTGGTCTAGAGGTTAAGCGTTCGTGTGCGAGACTCAAGGCCGTGAGTTGGAATCTCGCGAAGTGGGATCGTGGACGCGTACTGCTAAGGAGTCTCAAAACAAGATGAAACGTCCGCTCAGTGCTTTCAGATTTTCAACGGTAGTCTAACATCGATCGGTTCATGATCTCAATCAAAAACTTAATAATTTCTATAACCTTATACTGATTATTGTTTTTTTAAGCTAAATAAATTAAATTTCTCTTCTTAGCAATGGCCCCATAGAAATAAGAAATTAATTTTCTATGATCCCAATTGAAGTATAAATGGAAACCACAGAGAACTGATCAGTTGCTTCATCCTATTGTGGGACATGGTAACAGTCCACACCAATGACCTGACTAGGAACATTCTATGATAAGTACAATCCATGAATTTAAATCAAATTATTTTCGCTATATAAGATCACCTATATCTTACTAACTAGTTATTCTACTTTATAACAACTAAAAAGGCTTGTGACTTAGGGCAATATCGTGGCAGTCCGCACATGATGCACATATGCCAATAATAGACTGATTAATTAAAGTTCCTAAAAAACAATGGGAAGATACAAGCAAACACTACTAAATGAATTTAAACTTCACCCCATTGCACAAGCAAATGGATATCAGGACTCAGTAACTAAGTAGATAACGCGATAGCGTTTGAAGGGAACGGTACTGGGTTCGGGTTCCAGGGTGAATGTCAACTCTGGGATACAGGTACATCCAGCTGATGAGTCCCAAATAAGACGAAATATGCGTCTTAGATACCACTGTTAGCCACTATCCGTCTTTGCTTAAAATATCCACTGTAGACTTTATAATGTAATCATCGCTAGATTGGCTACATATCAGCTCGAAAGATAAAACACAGATCTTACATCATTAACTCAGTAATAATAAAAGTAAACATTACAAAATAAAATTTCATTATTATTGTAATTAATAATAAACAACTTTTTTTTAAGAGACGCGCATATTTGTTCTTTGTTGATCCATGAAAAAAGGGATGTAGACCGATATTTATGTATAAATTAATAATAATAAAACAACAACCATAGTAACAAGAACAGTGAAATACAAGAATGTTTGTTTCAATGTTTAGTTTCATCAATTGGGATATAATTGTTTTGTTTGTTTGTGTGTGTGTATATGTGTAATGAATAACTTTCATCAATTCACATTGACTTACATAAAAATTAAACAAATACACATTGTATGCATAGATAGATAGATATATATGTAGGATAAGAGGACTTACTTACTTACTTACTTTACTTATGCCTGTTACTCCTTATGGAGGAGTATAGTCCGAGGATAAGGGGAATTAGGTAATTGATTATAAATTGAAGGCAACTATTGAATGATATACAATAATAAATTAAATTGAAGAAAAAAAAACGATCAAATTATATCAATAAATCAAATGAGAAGATTTACTGAAGAGAAAACAAAAGGAGATAATAATTGAATAAAACACAAATTACAAATAATAATAATTGCAGTATTTGTTTAAATAAAGCAATTGTATTTGATATTTTATAGAAGGTGCACCGGATTCATCAAAGTTACATAATCAAAGAAACTCATATAGGAGATGATACACGCCTAGTGACGATCAATGAAGAATTAAATTGGAGGCGGGGTGGGGGGGGGCAAGGGAATGCATAATACTTTAGTAGATAGATTTACAAGTATAATAATAATAATAATAATAATAATAATAAGCAGTTTGTTTAACATGAATAAACAACATCAGATGATCCAGTAACATCAGTTTAACCGAAAATAACAAGCATAATAATGAAATAAAACCCAATTTAAAAAACAAAACAATAAGAAAAAAACATTGAGAGATCAAAAATACAAAAGAAGAAGAAGAAGTTAGACAATATCTTTTAGTTGTTGTTGTTGTTGTTGAATTCATTAAAAGTAGGAATGTTCATATTGTCATAACAATAATTGAGATAATTATGTTATGTAATAAATAGATAGGATATTTATAATGAAGTCCATCTATAGCTTTTCTAGAGTTACTATCAGTCCCAAGCCCGGATAAAAGAGGAGAATTGAGCATGGGGTTAGCGATCTCATCTTGTAGAAAACTAACTCGTTAAAAAGAAGAAAAAAAAAACGCTAACCAGAACTATTCATCATAATGATTACAATTAAAAATAGAAGAGAATGGTGGATAGATTCAATGATAGAAGGATTAAGAAAGTGTATATATCACACCTATTGCATATACATTTGTGTACATTATAATGATATACTTTGTTTAAAATAATGATGGTTATGTAACTGAATATCTGAATAAATTCATACATTCATTCAATTGTATATTTGATAGACATGCAAAGAAACAAACAAACAAACAAACCATTAACTCAGTCAGTCAGTAACAACGTAGAACTTCGTATATCAGTTCGAGTTGCCACACCACATTAGCACAGAGATCCAGTCGTTGAAACCATTAATTCATATATAAATGACAAAGAAAAGGCCCGAAAAACAAAACAAAACATCCTGTAATGATCAATAATAATCAATATTCATACTATTTAATTAAAGTAAACAGTTATATTGTTCTATTTTACTTTTGAGCTTTATTATTATGATGATGATGATGATTAACAAGATCACCGAAAAAGGAATGAACTTTGATGATGTTGAATAAAAAAAGGAGAACAGAACAATAACATCATCATCACCAGCACCACCACCACCACCACCACTAATCAACAACAACATCAACACCAAAAAAAACCACACAACATATGTGACCAATAACTAGTCGTTTAACATTGAAACAAAATAAAAATGTTTTATTTTAAAAAGTAAACCAGAATAAAATGAATAAAACAAAATGAAAAATTGAAAGGAAGACTGTGAGCATTAGTAACCACCTTTTTTACTGCTTAATGAATCCATATTAATACATTACAATAATGAATAATAATAATAATAATTCAAAAATGGTTTATACAAAAAAGGGAAGTTACACACACACACACGCACATATGTGCACGCGCGCACACACGTGCACGCACATGGAGAGAAAGAATGAGTCAAAGTGAGAATTAGGCACAATAGTGTGAATGACATATTCGAAATATCTAAATGAAATAATTCGATTGAATAATTGATAGAAAATATCAAAAATATATTGTAGATTTTATAGTACGTATTATTTCAGACAGCAACAACAACAACAACAACAACCATAACTACTGTTATTGTAGGCATTGATTTCGGAATTGATCTTCAAAAGGTACCTACTCTACTGTTCCTACTCCTAACTCCTCTCCCTTTTTCTCTTTATCTCTCTGACATCTGAATAAAAAAACATCACTTATTTACTTATGATTCAATAAAAATACATTTAGAAAAATATAAAGAAATAAATAACATGAAAATGGAAGGCTAATAATACAACAGCACAACCGAATTACAGATGAAGAAATTGAAAGAATAATATTACCCGGTAACTAACTGTACGTAGGGGGTAACTGTTAGTTGATTAGTTGTTGTTGTTGATGATGGTGATGATGATTTGCTTATTTTCTCACATTCACATACAAGTAGACAATTTGAATCAAGTATTATAATTTTTTAAAAAAAGAAGAAATCCATTTACATAGTAACCATAAAATGTGTGCCTATGGATCATTGGAAAATATTGATATACACGATGTATTAGATAGATTACATGAACCATTGATATTATTTACTCCATTAGTCATTGTAATTATTGGTGATGATGATGGGATTGTTGTGATATGATTAACAAGCGGATAAATTTGAGGATAATTCACAACATCAGATTGATCTAATAATGTAAATGAATCATCCAAAGATGTTTGTAGCATACAATCATATTCCCCATTGACATCATCACCGATACCACTTAAACTCATACCATTAGGTGATAAATTTATCGGTGGAAGTTGATTAGAATCTGTTGTTGATGAACAACAATCATCATTGGTAATATTCATTTGATAAATATTATAATTTGGTGTACATGGTTGTTTTATACCATTTAATGAATGAGATGAACATGATGATGTTGATGTTGAATTAGCTGGTCGTTTACGAGTTTTTCTTGTACCTGATCGACTAGATGAAATAGCAGCAACTGGTGATGGTGTATTATTACAATCAGAATTTCCATCTATACATGAATTTCCATTGGAATTAGGTATACGACCAAAACGTCGTTCATCTTTACATTTCTGTGCCATACGAGCACGTACAGCTGCGGCTGGTTTATTGAATCGTCGACGGATTGTAGCTGAATAAAATTTAAAAATATATAAAGTAATTGCTTTAAATAATAGTCATTTTAGTTATCTAAATAAAGTACAGATATATGAACGCAAAATAGTCTGCTCAATTAATTTCCATTAGGTTCCAAAAATACATACTACTATCATTGTAGGCATCATCAAGAAATTATCAATAAAATGCACTATGTATATAAAATTCAACGGTGAAATTTCTACACAAACATTTGATGTCACCATAGGTTCACCACTACGTCCCATATTGACTGACATTTTTCTCACTACAGTAGAAAACGGTTTACTGGCACAGTATATTGACAGGTTTCCATTTTACTGTAACTTCACCTGTACTCCTACGTTTATTGCCGTTCCGAATTCCAGATAAAGGAGGAGGGGTGACCATGGTGTCAACAAGCCCATCGCCTAGAAAACTACCTTGCTAAAAAACGCTAACCGAAATAGACCATTTAAACTCTGCCCTACAAGTTAAAGGATCATCATTCACAAGAATTGTGGGTATGGATATATCATGGAATGACATCGAATAACTGGGAGAAAAAAAATAAAATAGTGAGAGCTTTTCAAATTTATATCCCTTCAACAAAGTTATGGGTGGCACTATATTCCCTTACAAACACGCACAAAGTTAAATGGCCTCACCGAACGACACTGCAGAGAATCATATCGATCATATATACAGATGAAACTGAAGCTAAAGAAGCACTGAATAACCGTAGAAACAGCATCTCATATGTTTAATACAGTCTTCTTTTGAGATACCGACAAACTCCAAGAATTTAAGATACGTCTTAGCAACAGATTCCAAGCCTCACAAGTTCTGCTCTAAAAAGAGGAAACTAGTGTGCATAACAACTGAGAACGGATTAAGGAAGCAATAATTGCAACATGCCACAACGTAATGAACCGAAACAAGCACCAATATATAAGGTAAAACTCAATAGACATACTAGGAAAGACGCAACAACGAATAAATAAAAAGACAGTGATCAACAATATTTGAACAAGAGCAGAGAAGTCAAGGAACAGGCAGAATACATAGAAGCAAATAAGTGAGCGAAGAAAAGCATTAGACCTGACAAGCAGAAATGCGTGGAAGATCTTGCAGCTACAGCGGCAAAAGCTTTAAGAGAAGGAAACACGAGACACTTATATAATACACCGGAGCAACTGAATGGAAAATATAGTAGACCAGAAAGACCAGTTAAATAAAAATAAGGCAAGCCAGTCACTGAAACTCAAGAGCAGTGAGATAGGTAGGTAGAACACTTTGAGGAACTCTTGGATAAATCCGTCCCATTAAAACCACCGGACATCGAAGCAGCACACACAAACCTTCCTATAGATTTCACTCCATCAATGGTCGAAGTAATCAGGATGGTCAAATCAGGAGTGGGAAAGCATTGCTTTCCTTTGTACTATTTAAACTTGTGTTAATTTAATTTGGTTGTTTATTTACTCTGAAAAAGCGGCTTATATTAAGTTACAAAACGTCAGAAATGTAAATTTTTCTACTCGTTGGCATATAGCAAGAAATACACTTATTATTAATATTCTATCCGATTCTCAATGCACTTGAAACTATCAAGTCCAACCATGGCATTGATACCAATATTACACAAACGCTTTGACATTTTAGGAAATAGTAAATATGGGAATTTGCACGAACAAAAATGAAAACCAACCCAATGTTCTTTAAAAAGATATTTATTCTCACTTTATCGATACATTGAATTTCTTCATATCACTCACCAGTTTAGATTAGCATGAATGTTGTTATAGGTATGTGGCTAGTTGTCACTTACTGGTTACTTCCATCGTGGAAAGATATATATTATTGAGAGACCTGAACAAGAAACTGATTTAATAGTGATCTTCTCTAGTTGGGAAAGATAACACAGAACTTAAGGAACAGCTGTTGGGTGCCGATTACGTACAACTTTTTGTTAGTAATTTTGGTTTTACAACCATACTAATCAAAGTTGAGTCCTAGCGACAAAAGGGTGATGTGCTATTCCTTGCGTCAACATTTGTTAATTAAGGTAGCTGTATTGAATATCTATGGCATTTTGTTCAGTATAGCTTTTTAAAAATCAACTCATTCATTAGGTGCTTGGGTGTAAGATAAACTCGAAGTGTGAGGGTTAATCATACTACTCATTCGCCCAAACGGAAGTGTAAATGAAGCAAGGTTCAAAATTTGGACTTAGTGGCTAAACGTGAAACTCTTTAACTACTAGGACACCGCTCCAATTATTGCAACTATTGACTCAATTATTTTATGATATTAAATCGATTCATTATACACGTCAAAGATGATTAGCGCAACATGTTTTATTTCTTTTATTTTTACAATAGTTCAGGCACTAAGTTCATAAGCACATACATGTAAACGACTATTAATTCCAGTATTTTATCTGATTACATTTCAATCACTGATGTCAACCAGTACTGAGAATGTATCATCAATTTAAGCAAGTTGTATTCACATGGTAACAGAGTTATTTACTTTCTATCTTTTCTTACAGTAAACTTATCCATTGTATACATTACACACATCCTGTTACACAAACATTATAATGTATATACACGTAGAACATCAAACAAACATGCTGGTCAATCCTATAAAGTGGACCGTTTACGACACAACAATGTTATGCATGTAAACATTAAGGTCATATTAATGTGTATCTTAGATGAACACTTAGTCAGAGGTTAAGGTTATTTGTTGTTCGCTAGCACCAGCATCATTTTTCTTTATTTAGATATTCACATGTACATTAGTATGTGTGGTCATTGTCTACAGAACTTTATATATCACATATACACAAAAAAAACATAACACGAAACACCATTCACTAGATTATTCATGAATTTCCACAACGATTGAAAGAAACATGTGTATGCGGGACGAAGTTGGAAAGGATGAAGTTTAAAATCGATTTAATGAGAATTCACATACACACTCATACAATAAATAAAGGTCAGAATTAGTTATCAACACTATAGACTTCTGTATTTGTTTGAGGTTAATAAGAGAATGAATGATGGTTAAAAAAAAGTGTCAACAATAAGTTAGAAAAACAAACTGTATTTGTAGTATGCATGGACTATATGTATATACCATTCATTATTAACTAATCATAAGGATATCATTATGATTCGGTTTTCTTCCTTATAAATTTGAGGAATTATTTTCTTAAAGACAAGCAAATAAATACGATCTACTACATTAGTATAATTAGGTTGCAACAAAATGAAAATGTATGTACTCTTGTTGATGCAGGCACATGCAGCTGATAAGTCCCAAATAGAATGAAACATATGTCCTGGATCCAACTGTTGGCTAAAATCTGTCTTTTTTAAATATCTTTATTGGAGTTCATCAAAAACACTAAGATAATTTAGTAGATGAATTCATCAGTCAATTGAAGCTAGATCATCATGGAAAACCTTGAAGCACTGGAATTCATCTACTAAATTACTATAATATATCCACAAAACCCTCCTCTGACTAAATAAGGTGCTGATCATTCTTGTGAAGTTGATTTGCCTATTGAATTATTAAATCATCAGTATATAAACAATAATATGAAGCTGATTGTGTTTTACACAATGATGTGTAGACGTTCCAGGATAAGACTATATAAAAAGGCATAAAACAAAAAAAAATAATTGAATGGACAATCGTTTTCGATAACTTCTGCTTCTCAGATCAACAATTATAAGTCCATAATTCCTGTATTATATTGACCAAGATAAGGTAAATATTTAAACCATGATCGATGTAAAAGTTCATCAATGTTTTGACAGCTAACAGCTGGAAGACTTCCTAGTCAAATTTCTAGTGGCACAGAAACGCCAAGAAAAATTTCATCCCATCAGCACTGAACAGAAACTTTAGAGAAATATCTAGAAAATGTAAAGTCAGGAATCACGGGTTTCATTGGACAATTAACCATATTGCTACTATATTTGGTATGGTTTCAGAAGTTCAAGGTCGTGTGCAACTCTATAAATACCCTCATTTTTCTGTTCTGGAATTACCTTGGGAATAAAACTCTTACTTGAAACTCCCTCCTTCCTCTCTAGTGTTTCAGTTGATGTGCTGAAGTAATCGAGGTCATAGCAACCAACTAGGAAGACAATACAGGGATACCGGTAGCATGACTTATCAATAATTGTTTAATTCACTTATGTATGTCATACATTAATCGTGGATTTATAACTAAGTCATCGGAAAAAATTGTTAGTTCAAATGCCAAACTTCTTCAGTGAAAGTGGCCACATTCATTCATATTAAACACGATATTAATAAGAGGAAATTGTTCTTCTGGTCAGCGTTTTTTAGCGAGTTAGTTTTCTACGGGATGGGGTCGCTAACCCCATGCCCAACCCTCCTCATTTATCCAGGCTTGGGACCGTGTTATAACTTGTGAACCTGTGTGCTCTGTTTATTGTATAACGCAACGATACCTCCAATCAGAGAGCAGCGAATTATCGATCGAACCAGTGACGCATAAAACACGTGCGAGCAGCCTAGAGTCCTGATTGGTCTCGCTTCCTGTCTAGCCCAGCCAGTTAAGCCCAGAACACTAATCTCAGCCTCTGCAATATGAATCGTTTACTTCCAAACATACGGAGTTTATATACCAATCAAACAGACCACAACGTACCAAAAAATATGAAACAACACTTGCACAATATTTAGCCAAATGTGGCTGTGAATGAGGGAGATGTTAATTAATAGACAGGCCATAACTCAAGAATGGTTAATCGTATAGTAATAGTCTATGGGTCAAATTAAAGCTTATAATAAGAGCAACCTGAATATGAACAGTTTAGTTACATAACAGTTATACGATAAAAATATACTCATAGTATTAGTCCATAAATGGATCCCAAAAGTTACCATTCATTATTCTTATCGGGATATAACAGACCAGCAGTAGCCCCCGGAGGGACTCCAGGCCGAGTAATAAGAGGAAAG